AAAATTTTGTTTTGAAAAATTGGGTCGTTACAATACCTTAACATCGGGATGTTACAGATGCAAAAATTTGGCACATGATAGTATTTAACTAAATTTGCGATCTATTGATTTGAAATTAAGATAATTACATAACACATTATTAACAATAAAAAATTTGTGCTAATTATTTACATGTTATTCTTATTTATCATAATATTGTTTATGACCGCATAACTAGATATAGTTTGGTAACACCTCAAACCGCATTTAAACCGCCCACACCGCATCAAACCGTATCGCACCACATAATGCGGTTTGGAACCTTCGTGGTGCGGTCTGCGGTTTTTGAAAATCTCAAACCGCGCATGCGGTGCATTTTGCGGTTTTAACTATAAATTGCATCAAACCGCACCGCACACACCCCAAATTCAATTAAGTCAAGTTAGAAATATGATTACTACCGATGTTAAGGTTGCATAGGAACATATTTTCAACAAGTTAATTCATTTTCTTTCTATTTAAAATGTTTCACAGTTGAGATTTAAATATTTATGGCCTATTTCAACATAAACGAAGATGACACATTATATATACGAAAACCATTACATGTCAATTTTGACATTTTTTTTATAAATTCTTGACACATGCATTTTGATAGAGAATGTGCTATGGGTCTTATATAAATATATGGGTAAACATGGGGGACTTAATCGTAATATCTATTATTATCTATTTTGCATCCTATCTAGAATTATCTCATGAATAGTACAAATAGAGTAGTGATAGGAGTAGTGAGGCATCGAAAAACAAGTATTTATATCATCAAGTCAACAGTATGGTGGTTTTGTTTTGGATTTTCACTGCAATCGGTTTGGTCCAACCGCCCAATTCCAGAATTATAAAGCTCTTTTTGGATTAATTATACAAGTCAATTCTTTCACCCCACGTACTATTAAAAAGCTGAGAATCAAAATAGATATGGAACAAGAATCAGAGTGGATCGTATCACTAAATATTCTGATACATGAAGATCTTGTATCTGCTGCTAAGCATCAACTCCAATCTATTGATGAAGACAGGAACAATTGGTTTTATGGTTGTCAATTTTTGCAACGGTGCAAATGTCAGAAACTAAGTGTTGAATTTTCTCTAACTACACAGCAAGGGGAGGAGATGTTTGGTTCAAGTTATTGGAGAACAGGAGGGGTTTGTAGAGGTACTCCACTTTCTCGTGTCACTACCACTCAAGTCATGACCAACAAAATTGATTCGGGTAATAGATTTCAAAAATTAATCAATCTTCCTGAAATAAATGTCATTGAAGTTGTATTGGAGATTATTGAAATCAAAAACTTAGAAGGGGCTTATAAGAAAAAAGTTAGGGTCTTTTTGAGTAAGGCACAACCTGATGGAATCTTTGAGGATAAAAAGAAAGTTAATATCAAGTTTGAATTTGGGAAGAACGAGGTTTCTACATTCAAGAGTGAGCCTACTGGATCTCTTTTCTTTGAACTTGTTCCTAAATTACTACCATCCAAATCAGGTACTATGCGTTCTAAGCCTATCCATCTTAGAGTACCAGCCTCATGCACTCCCCCTTTCTCAAAAAGTTCAATCCTTTTCCCACTTTCTATTTTGTGTCAAAATGACAAAAACGCCCTTGAGTCGGGATAAGGAAAGCAATCGCTGATTCCATGGCAGCAAGTTCCAATCAAAGAAGCAAAAGTGCCTTGCAAACAAAAAGTCAATTTCCTAACCCCCGGCTTGAGGACAAGCCTCTTCTTCAAGATGGTGGTATTGATAGAGAATGTGTTATGGGTCTTACATAAATATATGGGTAAACATGGGGGACTTAATCGTAATATCTATTATTATCTATTTTGCATCCTATCTAGAATTATCTCATGAATAGTATAAATAGAGTAGTGATAGGAGTAGTGAGGCATCGAATATTTTTGCATTTGTATTTTGAGTCTTCGGCATTAGCTTGGGCAGGAGGTCATCTCTTTGAGATCCTCTCTGATTTAGGTCAGGAAGGACAATCATTTGATTAACTTCTCTGAATTATTATTCTGTTATTTCCACTTGAAGTTCATAGTAATCAAGCATTCAATTTCTGTTTTCCATTATTGTGTTATCGATTCCTATCACATTTTGTATGCCATGATTTTTGACAGAATTTATAAGATGTATTATTTTTAAATTTACTAATATTCAAATTAAATCACACATTTAATGTCTCATAATATAAAATAAAATATCATATACAAAAATATAATCCATTGCACAAAATACAATATGTCAAATACAAATATTCATTTCAATGGCAAACAAATATAATACATTGCTAATATGGATGACATACTCCTATAATTTGTATAGTATGTAAGTATGGTGAGAAAGTTTTTCGCATGCAAATTTATTCAAATCAACAATCCACATTTGTAATTAACATTAGACCCATATAAAAAAGTAACAACCGTCAGTGACCCCGTTTTACGCAATGAAACTGTTTTTGTCTACAAACTCCTTAGATATGTTGCTTCCATGTTCCTTATGCTTTGACCTCAATAGTAAAGCAACAACCTACTCTAAAATAATTATCATAATCAAAAATTAAAACATATGAATTTATTTTCTATCAACTATAATATTTTTTTATAATTATGTTGCTATTATAAGTAGAAAGATATAAGTGGCCTCCTCTCAAGATTTTAGAACTTTTAAATCAATAGACCATATCCTATAGGCCAACCAACATTAACATAAATTAATAGATCACACAAACTCATTAAGATAACAAGAGTAAAAAAAATACAATTTTTTTACATTGAAACTGAAGAACCGGGAGCATAAGGAGGCATGATAATGCCTAATGAAAAATTGAAGCTTTACATCTAAAGCTAAGTAAGGAAAAACTAAATAGGATCTGATAAAAGAAAGCCAAATCGATCATGGTGATTTTTCCACAAATATAGCAAAAATCAATGAATATGAGAAACTATAACAAACCTTGAATCATGATCACTCTTTATTGCTTTAGATCAACAAAAACGTGAGATTGTGGATCCGTTAATCAATCAAATTAATAAACAATGTGTTGAGTGTAAAGAGGAGATAGAAAGATAACTTCGACCTGGTCCTGCTTAAGAAAGTTGTGAAAGCTCATACGAAGATAGTTCCAGGGACAAAAGTAGATGGAGTAGGCCGACATGAGGTGGAGTAGGGACGGATAACCCTCAATCGTTGGTGTTGTGACCGTGAGAAGTCAAAGAGAACCCTCAATCATCGGTGTGGTTCATGAAAGGCCCTAATTCTTCGATCGTCGATTTCATGAAGATAGGAAGTAGATGAAAGCGGGGTTTAGGAATTATAAGACGACACATAGAAGATGGCAGGCATATTTTGAGGTGTACTCTGTTTTTTTCGATTATGACACAGAGACATGACATGTAAAAGTGCATGTCGTAACCTTCAATTTTCACAAAAATGACATTTATTTTACAACACATGTTTTTGTCTGCATAAAACCAGTGTGTGCCTAATTCAAGTGTCGTTAAAGTTCTATTTTTTAGTAGTGAAAATTTCTTATAAAGTGTTTGTTTTGAAGACTTGACCCCATTTCAGTATTCTTAGTGGAATATTGTTGAAATTTCTAGAGAAGTTTTGAAGATAAACGGGATGTTTTTCTAAACATACATACCAAGGGAGCTCATAGATCATTTTCTTTGTCAACTTAATTAAACTTAAGATTATCCATTAAAATTATGTAATCATAAAAGAAAACTTTGTGATATAACTTTTACTTTGTATGTATTCATTATTATTTTTCCTCTTGAACATCACGTTCTTGAAAACAAAAGCAACTAGCTAACGAGGAGCTAGAGCCCAGCAGGCCAGCATACCTCAAGGGACAATGAATTATATAAATAACTTTGGGTGTTCTTGTTGGTTATTTTCATAACCAAAACATAAAACGCGGAAGCATAAACATTGAATCTTTAAACTCGAATCTCATTAAAAGAAAACTTAAACATTAAAGAACGATTACATACCCGATTTCATTATAATCTTCGGATCTGAAGAACTAGGGTTGGGTTTTCCAGTTGATCTCAAGAGCTCTCTCTAAAATCCCTCAGCAAACCCTAAACGAATTTACATGTGTATTTTCGTGTGTGTCGATTGCTCCTCATCACATGTATATATAGATGGAGATATACCCTAATGTGAGAGATGGAAGAGATCTTGAGGATCTTGAGTCAAACCGGAAACTCAACCCACAAGGTAAGTTAATATTCTATAAATCGGTCCATCAACAATTTATATTCTTACCATAATAATTGGATTTAATAATATATCGTACATGAAATGGTCCCATAATTATCCAACAGTTCTTTAATTGCTTATGTTGTTCTTCCTATAGCTTGATTAATTTTTATTGTGAACATCATGATTAAATAGTTAGGTCATGTTTACACATATATATGTGTTCCTCCATGACTCCATCTGCAATTTCTATCTTGTTTTTCTGTTGTTCAAACATGCATGTTTTAAAATGGTTTTTTTTAACTGTTTACCAAACACTTTAAGCCGTATACAATCACTAAAGGAACAAAATCATTACGTATTTTATCATTTAATACATGAAATTCTAAACATGTCCTAATGCTTTTCACAAATATCAAGACTTTCTGTTTTGTGATGTATTATCTTCTTGAACTGTTTAATAAGCATATTAGCATAATATACATATTGTAGTCATATCTGATTAATCCTTTTTTACGGATATTTAAATCGAATAATTGAACTTTTCTTTTTCGGTGAAAGAAAATTCATAACACTTGTCTCGGTAGCAACCAATTCATTTATCATAATCTTGGAAAAGATGCAAAAACATATGTACTTACTTATACACCATGATAATACTTCATCATCGATAGAGATTAGAGAGCAAAACACAACACAAATGTAAAAAAATAAAAATAAAAATAAAAACGATGTATCCATGTCTAACAATATAATCACCAATAATCACTACAAGAGCATTTCCCATCTTCAAACCGATGAAATCTATTATTATCCCTAACAATAATCACTCTACCACAGCATTTTGACATAAACTTTATTGCAGTGTGACAATCACCACAAATCCTCAAATTCTTCATAACCCTAATCGGTCTTTTGTCCTTAAATGTAATTAAAGCAAATGCAATTGCTAATCTTTCACTATGATATCTAATTGCCATACTTTTCTCTTCACCACCAACTTCTCTCAACACATAACTCGTATCAGCAACATAACCAGCTTCCACCATCTCATCTTCTAAATCCTCCAACTTTTCATAAATCTCTTTTGATCTCAAATGTCGCCTGTCCCCTGCAGCAAAAGTATGGACCATATTACCCTCCTCAACCCAGCTTAAACCAGTTTCCTTTTTTACCCCTGTGTCCCTTAACATCTTTCTGGCTCTTGCAGCCTCTTCATATCTTCCAACAGAAGCATAAGCATTAGATAATAAAACATGCATGCCTGAACTAACAGGACCTAATTCAAACACTTTGTCAGCAGCATAAGCTGCTAATTCTGTATTTCCATGGAGTCTACATCCGGTCAATAATGCCCCCCATACACATTCTGTGCGTTTGATTGGCATTTCCTTTATAATTGAGAGTGCTTCATCTAGTTTATTAGCTCTTCCAAATATGTCCACCATTGAAGCATAATGCTGATCAGTTGGCTCAATCTTGTAATGTTTCATTAGGTTGAAATAATACTTACCCTTTTCCACTAGTCCTGAATGGCTACATGCATAGAGTGTACAAAGAAAAGTTATGAAATTTGGTTTCATGCCGCTTGATTCCATTTCTTGGAATAGTTCAAAGGCTTTATTTGTATGTGAATGTTGAGCACATGCTATGAGCATTGCGTTCCACATTCCTAAGTTCTTGATGGGTGTTTCTTGGAAAATCTGATAAGCTGGTTTGATGATTCCACATTTTGAATACATAGAGATTAGAGCACTTCCTATGAAGCTTGATGAATCGAAGCTCAATTTCAAAGATAGCCCATGTAGCTGCTGACCTAGTCCGAGTAGCGTTGTGTTGCCACAAACTCGAATGACACTTGTGAATGTGAAGTCGTTAACCTCCAATTTCTCAAATAAAGCTTGCTTGAAAAGCCATAGAGCTTCTTCATGTTCGCCCAACTGCGCATACCCATAAATCATCCCACTCCATGAAACTACATTTCTCATAGGCATTTCGTCGAACATGTTACGTGCGTCTTGAATCTTCCCACATTTCGCATACATGTCCACCACCGAACTGGCGACGAACACATCAAAACCATACCCAGTTTTCAAGGCAAGGCAGTGCACTGACCTCCCGACGTTATAGTTTGAAAGAATAGCAGAGGCTTTCGTGGCACTCGGGAAAATATGGTCATCTGGACGAACACCATAATCGACCATCCTCTTAAAATACTCGAGTGCAAGAATAGGGAGCTCATTCTGGGCAAAAGAAGAGATAATGGAACTCCAAGTGGTTGATGATTTGATATTGGTTTCGTTGAAAACTCGCTGGGAGTCGATTGGGAGCTGGGTTTTTGAGTAGAAATTGATTAAATAGTGAGACACGAGTGGGATTATTTGAAAGCCTAATTTGATGATATGACCATGGAGTTGTAGTCCTTTAGGGAGTGTTCTTGATCGGGTTACAGAAAGAAGGAGGTCACATACGTTTCTGTAATTTTGTTCAAATCTCAACTGGATTCCTTCTTGCACACATCGTTGGGGAATATAAAGCATATTTTAGAGCAGATATTTAAGCGCCACCCAAAAGTTATGCAACATATACAGTTATACACCGACGAAAGATAGTAAAGGATGATTTTACTTTTTAATTGAACAAATTACATGAATGGTCCTTTAGGTTTATATTTTTTTCGCTAAAATAGTCCTTACGAAACTTTTTTTCCCTAAGATGGTCCCTAAGGAGTAAACCTTGCACACAAAAGGCCCCTGTGACTAACTTTGTTAACAGATTCCGTTAAATGATTGTGAATGACAAAAATACCCTTTGTTTTTTTGCACACAAATGGTCCTTAGACTCTCTCTTTTTCTTTCTCTCTCTCTCATTCTCTCTCTCAAACACACATATCCACCCATCACTTCCCAAATCCCTAACCTCAAAACTTGTCACTGTCTCCTCACTGAAGCTACCATCGTCGGAACAAATTTATTCATATAGAAAAAAGAAACAATAATGGTAAAAGATCATCAAATTGGCAAAATTCTCTGAGGAATGTAGAGAATTCTTGGTGAATTCGGTGGGATTCACTCCAATGTTACAGGACATCTGGTGAAGACTATGCTTTTCGTTCTTCCAAACCCACCCTTATCAGTGATAATCACCATTAGTTCTTTCTAAATAAGTGATACTGCTTTCTTCAAGCTGTAAAATTATGTTCCTGGGAAGTCTCTTGGCATCTCGATGATGCCTTGTAAGAACACGTTGAACAGAGAATCGAGTTTTCCAATATGATTTGGGTCCTCCACCAAAGTTCGATCCAATTACAAAATCCGATGGGTAACATGAAGGTGAGTGATGCAGGTTTTCAGCAACAACGATTTAAACCTAGATGTAATCTTCAATCAAAATCCGATAATGAATTTAGATTCAGAGGTTGGTTTCCAATAGGGTGACTTTAAACTCGGATTCAATCTTTGATTTTGGGTTTAAGGGAGATCCGATTAACCACAAATTATCACTAATCGACAGAAGCTTTGAGACACCATAATCGGTGGTGAATTTTTGGGGAAGAAACATCGATTAAAAACTGAAAGAGGGCACCCTCCAAATTTTTGGGGTTGTTTGATCGAAGTGTATTTGTATCACTCCTTGTTGATCTGAGTTTTCAGCATCGATTCTTCTGTTAAAACGAAGAGAAGCTAGTGATTTGTTGAAGGAAAGAATGTGAAAACGAAGGAGTAAGGGGTATATGTGTTCTTGTGTACTTATGTATGTGTTCTTGTGTACGTATGTATGTGTTTGAGAGAGAGAGAGAGAGAGAGAGAGAGTGTGTGTGTGTGTGTGTGTGTGTGTGTCTAAGGACCATTTGTGTGCAAAAAACCAAAGGGTATTTTTCGTCATTCACAATCATTTAACGGAATCTGTTAACAAAGTTAGTCACAGGGGCCTTTTGTGTGCAAGGTTTGCTCCTTAGGGACCATCTCAGGGAAAAAAGTTTCGTAAGGACCATTTTAGGGAAAAACTATAAACCTAAAGGACCATTCGTGTAATTTGTTCTTTTTAATTTGAACAAGAAGGTCTTTCAGCTGGAACGAGAGATTAAACTTCGAACATAGGAAGTTAAGGGGCTGTTTCTGTAATTTGAGCAAAAGAATAAAAAACATTAATGCTTAAATAAATGAAGCCAAATACGTGAATTCAAAAAAAAAAAAAAAGAAGTTGGTGAGATTAAGATACTATTGAACTTCTTATCGCCAATGACACCTAAGAGTGAGAAATCTAGAGAGAGAATGGGTGTTGAGGAAACAGAGAGAGGTAGCTTCTTGTACAAAGATGTATTACCATTTGCAGCAATGGTGCTGGTGGAATTGATGGTTGTTAGTGGTAACACACTCTATAAATCAGCATCTGCTAATGGAATCAACTCTTATGTCTTCACTTTCTATGTCTTCTTCATCGGCTTCATCTTCATCTTACCTCTCCCTTTCATCCTCCATAGGTACCTACCCTGCAATTTTCATCCTAGCTTTCTTCATCAAACCATTAATTGAGGGTCTATTTTTAATTTGGGGTATCAAAGTTTACTGAATTTTGTTGCAGAAGAACAAGCGTTCCAGTTCCACCCATCAATTTCTCGATTGCTGGGAAAATATTCATGCTTAGTGTCCTCATGTAAGCTTCTCTGAATTCACAAATCACAGTTCACACCAACAATTTGGGTATATCGATCTGCTTAATCTTTTTGAGGTAAATTATACAGGTATTTGTCTCAAATTTTCGGATATATCGGTCTGAAGTACAGTTCTCCAACTCTATCCTCGATCATGAGCAACCTTTCACCTGCGTTTACATTCATTCTCGCCTTCTTCTTCAGGTTCTCATCTTCAACAATACATATGAATCGTTTTAAAGGGAAATTAAGAAACATGATTGATTCTTTATATATGTTATTTGTATGTGTTATAAAAGGATGGAATCGATAGATTTCCGAAGCAATACAAGTCAAGCGAAAATCATAGGAACAATAGTGTCAATATCAGGAGCAATTATAGCGACAGTTTACAGTGGTCCTTCAGTTTTATCAAACCCGATTAGCATAAACTGGATTGTCGGAGGAATTTTACTCGCAAGTCAATATTTTTTACTTGCCTTCGCTCTGGTTGCCCAGGTAGCTAATTAAAAGCCATAAATATTCGAAATTGAAGATGAATCTGTATGCGTATGTTGTTAAGAAGTAAGAAAAAGTGATTGCATGCAGGCGAAGATAATGAAAGAGTATCCGGTGGACGTGATGGTGGTGTTCGTATTCGGGATAAGTGGATTGTTTGTAGCAGGGGTTGCGGGATTAGTGATGGCACAAGATTTAGATGCTTGGAAACTAAAACCTAATCTTCTTTTGGTCACTATACTATATATGGTAAGATACTAAGATCTACCTCCTTAGAAAAAAAAATCACTGTGAAATTCACTCTGCATAGTGAAATTCATCATGGTTTTTTTAGGAAACTTTTTTTAAAAATTTTTCTTTTTTGTGGTGTGAATCTTTAAAAAACTATTTTCATAACAAAACATAACTTTATATTGTTAAAACAAGGGAAGTCTTAAATTAAAAAATATTAGTTTTTCCCTGTCAATTTTTTTTTATATATATGCCTCATTTTACATTTAAAATATACTATATTCTAAATATCATCCATCTAAATGTGGAAAAGAAGAGAGATGGATGATAATATAGTAACACATGGCAGGGGTTTTCTTCTGGATTCTTGAATGTTGTGATACAAATCTGGACGCTGCGGTTGAAAGGCCCTGTGTACGTGGCGATGTTCAAGCCGTTAACGATTGTGATAGCGATTGTTATGGGCGTCTTGTTTCTCGGTGATTTGCTACATCTCGGAAGGTTAAATTACCATTACATCCTCTAAATTTCCTTTTACTTTTACATAATACAATTCCAATATCATCATATATATTAGTTTTTACACAAACAATACTTCATCAACCGATTCTCCAACAACTAAAACAGACCTGACGTATATATATTACTGAATATTATTCATATTATTGCAAAATTTATAAAAATTTATGAAAAAAAATGAAGTTTTGTTTATCGTGAGGATTAAAAAAAAACCATTTTTGCGGCAAAAATCAAGTTTCCTAGTACGAGGATATAATGTTAAATTGAGAGAGCTTTACAAAAAACAACGAGAAAAAGTATAAACAAAAATGTCTTAAACAGGAGTTATCAATTTCGTAGAAAATATTGAATTTTATAACTGTTTATGAGAAATATATAAAAAATGACTATTTCCGGAAAGTCAAATTAGATTAATGGTTAGTCTTTTTTTTTTTATTATTTTACAAATCCTATTCATATTGATTGATTGATTCATATTAAAATAAAACATTTAAATCAAATTCGGTTTACCTAACACTAAAAGAATCATCGGTAAAGTCATAATACGTTTTTTTTTTACAAATCCTATCCTATTCAATATTCATATTGATTGATTCATATTAAAACATTTAAATCAAATTCGGTTTCCCTAACACTAAAAGAATCATCGGTAAAGTCATAATACGCAACCTTAAACTACATCAAACAATCCCTTAAAATATATATTTTATTTTATGAAGGGATTAATTTGGTCTTTAATTATTATTTTCCAGTCTCATATATAATGTAAACTTTAAAAGGGGACATGATTTTGAGGTTGTACCAAATTAATGGGGATTAATTAATAAATATAACTACGGTATAGTGTATACAATTGCATATAAAATAATAATATTTTAACATATATTATTATTTAAATTGTTGTGGTGTATGATGCAGTGTTATGGGGGGCATTATAATAACAGTAGGGTTTTATGGAGTGGTATGGGGAAAAGCCAAAGAGGAATCTCCATCGTCCATTCAAATCACCGCTCCTTTGCTCCAACCACATCACAATCTTGAACAGGGTCCATGCATTCATTAACTTCTTATTAAAAAAAAAAAATCAAGATTGCAGTGTATATATATTGTAAAAAAAATCAACATTGTTAAAAATCTTATTTAATATTTCTTTTTGTCACACAAACTCCACCAAATACCACCCACAACCACCATTTCAGCCACCACCAAACACCTTTATTAGCCACAATTATATCACCATATACATCTCACATGTTCACTCGAAACCAACACCATCAACCACCGGATCAACTTCTCTTTGCACCACCCATACCCAGGGTTACAAACTCAATCCCTGCTACCTAACTGAAAATACTAAATTACACTCACAATAATGGGCGAAAACTAACGGTGTTAGTAAAAAGAACCATTCACGCAAGTTTTAGAAACCACATAAACCATGTTTGTCAAAAAAAATTTTTACCAATTACTGAATTTGTGACCATTAATACATGTGATTTGGTTCGATCCGCATGTTTTGTATTGTCCTTATGTTTTATTTTTTATTCGGACCGTCCTTAATGAGTTTTAAACTCATATGATTCATTATTATCAAACATGAAATAACAATATTGTCTTTATTAATTTGTTTAATTTATGTATCATTTATTTTTTAATAATAATAATAAATTAAAAAAACAAAATAGGCCCCATTTCAAACCGCACCCACCTGTTACATCCGATCTTTTGAGGTATTATGATGTAACACCTAGTTCTAGTGAAATTCTAATCTCTGGACATTGGGCTGGAATTTGATCAAGTGAGGGTTTTTGGCCTCAAAGGAATAATGTTTAGACTCTTTCGTATGTTGATAATGTTGGAATAAGTAATTAAAGCTCTCGATTTGTGCCTTGAAGCAAAAGGGTAATATTGGAAAGGTGATATATCAGGCTTCTTGCACGAATTAATGATTTTAGCTTGATAGTTTTTAGTCAAAAGTATACGTGGGGCTCGTCAATACCTATTTGTGCATATAAAGAATGCCGAAAACGGAGTTGAAATGAAGAAGCTATAATTGTTTGAACTTGGAGTGAAATTGGATGAAAGCATGTCGCCACGGAGTGGCAAATTGCCTCCACGACGTGGCAAGCGCCATGGAGTGGCAAATTTCCTTCCACGACATGGAAATTTGTCTCCCACGGAGTGGAAGATAGGCAAGCCCAGCTCATGATTTTTAGGGTTTTCAATGTATTTAAAGGTAATGATTCATGTTTTAGGGCATTTTCTCAACCTCCATCTTATTTAGAACCCCTTGAGAGCAACCCTAGCCTCCCCCACATATTTTGAGCTTCTCCCATATCCTCTCATCTATTTTTGGAGTGTTTTTGGTGGTTTTGGAGTGAGGATTTCATGCAAGATTGATCCTTGAAGTGTAACGTCCCAAAATTTATAACCAAAAATTTCATTTTTTGTATTAATAAAACCATCAACCAAACATGTTTACAAAAATCATAAAGGAAATCAAAGTATGTCAACAATCATCCAAAAATACATGAGGGTCAAATAAGGTGGAAAATCATGGTATGCGCAATGTGATCATCTCGAGCTCTTCCCCTTCGAACCGGAAGTATCTGAAACATAAACTGAAGACCGTAAGCACAAAGCTTAGTGAGTTCCCCAAAATACCACATACCATACATATTCGTCAGCTCAAGGTTGTACCGGGTCCATTTCACCCATGAGTCTATTTCAACTCTAATGTCAGCTCAAGGCTGTACTGGGTCTATTTCACCCCCCCCCCCGAGTCTATTTCAACTCAATCAATATTTTTCAACCGTACGAGTCTATTTCACCCTACATACATATAGTAAACAGGCATACAGACATACAACAAGAGTCACAAAGACAACAAGCACATACAACCCTAGTGTCCTCTAGTATAGTGAGCAAACTCACCTGGATCCGCTGATAAACAAATAGATGCTCAGGCTGCTGAACCGGAGAATCCCCGCACTAACAGGAGAATCACGCCGACAAGGACACGGGGTTCGAACCCAGTATGCACAACGTACTCATAAGTACACCCAATGTACTGGTATGTGAACAATTCCTTATATAGATGGCTTAATCCCTTAAGACCCTAACGTCCAAACTTCAAATTTACTCCAAAATAAGGTCCTAATCCATAAAGTCGGAAGCTTTTAAGCCTTTGCATGGCTTAATATGTCCCAATGTAACATCCCAAAAATCACAATAAATTTTAACTTTTCAAAAACAACCCAAAACCATAATTGATTACAAAGTCATTGTTTCAAAAGTGTATTTCAGTAATCAGAGTATCCCAAAATCCAAATAACATAAAACCAAAGGTTGTACACGATCACGCCTTCGCCTTTCCACGGTCATCTAAAGTACCTGAAACAACAAACTGAAACTATAAGTCAAAGCTTAGTGAGTTCCCCTAAAGTACCACCACACAAACATATAACATACACAATCCTGCATGCTGGGTCCACAACCTCCCGGTTGGCTTACCCTGGCCTACAACTTCCCGGTTGGCTTACCCTGGCCCACAACCTCCCAGTTGGATTGCTCTGCATATCACGTACTGGGTCCACAACCTCCCGGTTGGATTACCCTGGCCCACAACCTCCCGGTTGGAATACCCTAGCCCAGAACCTTTCGGTTGGATTTCCCCAGTTGGTTGACTGACAGCATAAAGCAATAGTCTCAACCCGAACATAACATGCCGACTTATAACAGATAACAAACATATTCAACAGACATATAATCATACAACCATTAATCACAAGTAATCCTATAGATCTACCAGTCTAACGCATATCAACAACCATCATATAATCATATAGATCTACTACATACTCAACATATCATCAATCAATATATATCAGGATATCATATCCAATGGGCCGGCCTTGGTGCCTTCGACCCATAAGTACAGTGAGGGAAACTCACCTCTCAGTCTGAAAAGATCGTTGAGCAGAACACATCTCCGAATATCAGCTCAACGGTACCCTATTCATCAAATAATGACCAATCTCAAATATCACTTATTGGACAGATCCCTTTTTCTTGAAATTCGAACAACGTTAGTTTTTTCGACACATCAGTCATATGCGAAACCTTCAATTTAATAAAGCTTCATGACCATACAAAGTCATAGCGAATAAATGTTAACATGAATAGAGTTGCTATAACTCTAATCTCGTTCACATGCACTTGAAGATATTTAATTGCATATGCGTGCTACTATAAGTCCGAAGCAGGACCAGACATCGACCCATTCATACTTCAGACTTGAGGGACTTGTTGATATGTATATCTCATCGACCTTTTAGAAATGGTTCGGTCATTTCTCGACAGTTCGGCTATTTTCGTACGGTTCAACCATTTCCTGACGGTTCGGCCATTTCTCGACGGTTCGACCATTTCTCGACAGTTTGGCTATTTTCGGACGGTTCAGCCATTTCCGTATGGTTCAACCATTTCCATACGGTTCGGCCATTTCTGGACAGTTCGGCCATTTTCCTGACGGTTCGGCCATTTTCCTATGGTTCGTCCATTTTCAGTTTTCTCCTTCCCAAGGCGAAAAGTACATCAGTCACCTCAACCAACTCATAGCCAGCTGCTAAGTTTCTTCCCCAAGAAAAGTTACATCTAACTATGTATAAATAGACCTCTCAACACACACAATAAGTAAGTTCCAACTCTCTCTCTCTCTCTAAATACAATTGGGTTCCTTCCATTCGAAGGATCCGACCTGATTTCGTATCGATACTAACTTGACCGTCGGAGGCTGCTCCCGGGACGCAAGTCATGGGACGACTCTGACAATCTCATTTATGAGTGTAACAGGAATCACATTGGGGCTCGCTAGCGGCAACTAAGAACGCATCGAAAACTTCAACTCGATTGGCCCCATGGTGATTTTTCGGGTTACATCAAGTGGCGCCATCTGTGGGACCTCGAGCAAATAGCCACTGCTTCACGAGGTTCAACCTTTTCTCTTTAAAGATCTCCAGAGATCTGCTACGTTCGTTACAGGTTTTTACCATCTTCATGACCCCATCTTTTTCATTCACGAGACTACAACAGTTACTAAAGCCTCTAATGTTAAAAAAAAACTTGTGTATTTGCAAATTTAGTGAGTCAAATCTTGTTTATTTTCTACTTTGGCTCGTCTTTCTCAAACAAATATTCGTGGCCATATTCATGCCGGGAAAATTAAACAATCAAATTAAAAAGTTCATTGGATGAGAAAAATTATAGGGAGTGGTAGCATGTTTAGCATGTTGTCGCATCAGAACTTTTGATGCCATGTCAAATTTTTTGAAGCCACATAGGATGAAGAAAGTTGTAGCATCCAAATTGCAAAAGGTAGAAAATGGTGATGTATTAGTTTCATTGGATTTATATTGGAAAAAAATTAAAAAAGAAAAAAGAAAAAGATTTCAGTCAATAAAAACCCACCATTAAAGTTTCTCTCTCTTCTCTCCTGTCCTTATGTGTATGGCGAGAGATCCTTAGCAAATGTTTTAACATTTTAATGGGAGTGGAGCTAGCACTTTTAGCGAGTATGGAGGCGAGAGGGCACCCCTCAAGCCTTAAAAGGAGTGAAAACTAGTTGGCAACTTGTCTATGCTTCTCTTGGAACTAGCATCACGCGCAGGGTATTCTCATTTCAGCCAAAAAGAAAAAATATGGTTGTTAAAAGCTAAATATAGTTGTCCAACAAACAGTTGCAAAGGAATTACTCATTTTCCATATTTTTGTTGCTATTCCTATTCAGATTATTTCTTGAAATGCACCATGTACAACTTAGTGATGCAAAAATAAAGAAGAAAAAGAGATACACCGCATTTCTAAAAGCAAACTCTTAGTTGTTTGATTAGACAGCACGCACTAGTGTGCGATCAGTAGTGACAAAACTCTACTAGTCCAACTTCTTTCATGTTTGCTCGTTTCACAAGAGCCAATGTAAGAAAACTATAGAGCTTTGAATTTTACTAAATAAATCATAATCCTTTGGCTTCCACAAGAAAGAACTTTGACTAGAGAAAACTTTATGTTCTTCACATCGATTAAACTCATCCGTCCGGCCGCATGAATAGATCCACTATTTTTCTCACTCAAGCAGTTGTGTGAGTCATTGGTCGCTTCTAGCTCCAACAGACGCTGCCATCAACCAAGGCCAACGTCACCATCTTCGATCGTTCATTCTCTCTAGCCAATGCAACCCAGCTTGTATGAAAGCCAAGCTAGGTGTTCTTACACCGTGGAACAAAATCTACATCTTGCTCTAAAAAAACATAATCGTTACCCAAAATAGTTATATATTGTAACGCCCGTGTTTCTAGGCTAGGCATTAATATTGACATAATGGTCTAGGTTAACCTTTGTAACTCATTTAGAAGAAATGAAAAGGAATTATGTGAATTATGTGTTTTATGCTTAATTATTAGGGTTTAATTAATTAAGAATAAAAATAAGCGTCAAAATTAAATATTAGATAAAGCCGATATCTATTAAGAAACTTGTAGTGGGCGTGACAAGGATTACCGATATATAAAGAATATCGAAATCCGAGTGATAACGAA